AAATCAAAACAAGTTCATTTCATCTAAGTCTATTCACCTTGGGCAACCCTGATCAACTGCATGGGCACACACTCTTACTCCAATTATTTGAAAAGTATGAGGGGTACTTTGTGGAGCCACAGCTACGAGTAAGTCGTCTCTTTTAAGTAATAAAAAAACAGGTTAATAAATCACTTGTTTAAAAATAATGTTCATTAAATTTTAATTAATATTTAATAATAGTTTTCACATACATGTCTTGAAAGAAACAGTTTCCTGAAACAAATGGTACTTCATTATCGCAATTCGTGATTGCGAGTAAATTAACGGGATATTAAAGTTATATTTATTTGAAAATGAAAAAAATAATAATTAAATATGTATGTTCAGCCTACAATACATCTACAATATCGGCAGCTGATGAACATAATAACCTCTAAAGAAAACGAATTACTGCAGTTACTTATGCTTGAAAATATTTACTTACGGGACCGTAAAGAAGGCTGCAAACGTGTTTCTAGATCGTAAGCAAGGCATTTATTACTCAGATTTAACAGATTGTGTTCTTGAAAATGGAACCTCCATCAAACTAGAAATTTTATCAATATATTTTCCCACAAAATTATCGCTGAAACTTGCATTGTTCGTAAACACGAAAAATTAAACTAGCTATTCCACAAGTTGTTTTCTTCAGATATTTCAAAAAGATCATTCTTCTGATGTAAGTAAAGGCAGTCTTAAATACACGCCTAAAGCTGTTGTATCGCATAATCTGTTCGAGGGAACATGCACCCATGCGACTACACACGGACTCATTTAAATCATGGTATACAGATGGGTTTAAGCAATAGATGTGTGGCTTAACGATCGATGCAGTCCTTATACTACCCTCTATGGTAAGTGATATACGATATATGATAATCACTGTTGTAAAAATGTAAAATGCGTGAAAATATGCATCTCAGCTTTAATGAATTAAGAAGCATTGAAATGCATCAAATGTCTTCTGTCGGGTGACAGTTACTCGGAAATATACTTCAAAGTTGATGCAATATTGAAAACTATGTAGGAAAATATGATTGCAAATAAATTCTGGGCGAAAAAGGAAGTACAACGAAGAAATACTCCTCGTACATATATAAAGGAAGATTAAAGTAATTCCCCAAACAGGAGAAAACGTGTTATACACCCGTTTTCTTAAAATATTTTGGTAGGTAATCAATAAGAAATATTTATATCTCTTACAATGTAAACCTTTATCTTTTGAAATAAAAGTCAGAGAAAGAATATGTCTTGAGGACTTGCAACCAATTAGCGACTACCTACCCACAAGGTCGAGTTTACAATCTCTTCGTTCTCTCGTTGGTTAAAGAGACGGTAGAACCCCGGCAATCCGAACCAATTGGGGGTGTGGACTTTTCGGATTCGGAAATGTTCAGATTATCCGTACATATACAAATACATCTATAGGATTACTAGACAGTACAGCGTGTCGTGCGATGTGAGAAAATGGCTACGTAGCATAGCGAACGCATCATCAAACACATTCAGTTCCTTGCGGCAAAAGATTTTGCAAGTTCCTCTAAGTGATAATTCCTGCTACATAAAAGTGTGATGTACACCATAGTTACCAGTGCAATAAACGTTTCATTTCGACCACTTGTGTTTCGATAATTAGTTGTTCGGATTTACAGAAATTATAAAATCCTCTCTTTACTCTACAAATAAGAATTTTATTTATTTTTTAATTTTTATTCTATCCCGAATTTTGTTCGAATTATCCGATATTTCGGATTTGCGGGGTTCGGATTAGCGAGGTTCTACTCTACTTACTAAGACCATAGAGCCCAAACATTTAATTTCGCTTGGAAAAACTGAGTGTACTTGTTAACCTCCCCCTTTGGGATCTCATATTCCTTGCTTGTAGAACATTTATTAAGGCTTAGATTTAATTAATGTTTAAGCAGTGTAACTGGACATAAGTGTTTGTCTCTGGTCGTTAGAGTAAACACCATTATGTAGGCCTAGGCGGGGGAAACGAACTGATGTATGCAACCCGTTATACTCTCGTGTATAATGTAGTGGTTGGGAGGCCACGCAGGCGCAACGTAAAATCACTAGTAGATATTCCAGCTTTGCACTACTTTTATAGTGCGGACAGTAAACTTTAAAAGTCTAAATTCAATGGTTTGCATGTGATAACAACGGCCTGACTAATGATAGACAAGAATTGAGAGATTTGTAATTCTAAACTTAAAATATTGATCGAAGAGTTAATTTTTTTTTAAATTCAGACATTCGATAACTTGGTAGCCAGTAAGTAATTTGAAAAATAGACAATGTTATATTTTCAAATTATTATACCATATTATCTAGCATGTTTTACGACTACAATAGTAGTGTTCACGAAATATATCTAACTGAAAGGTAGCGCCCTTCAAGTTTTTTAAACTTACAAATGATTCTGTAATGTGTAAGGATTAAGAATCGATTCTTTAAACTTCTCACTGTGGTATAAAGTATGTTCTGGTGACTGGCTTTTTAAGTAATGATTCGCTCGTGGTTATAAAGTAGATATTTGCATACAGTTAATGAGTGGATGCATGTCCTGATGACTGCATATCGCCGAACATTAATACAGAGAGAATAATTACTCTTTACAAAGTTCGGAGGTGATGTTGAGAGACTCGTAGATGCGTATTAATACAACTCTGCTAATGCTTAATCTTTGTGTAGTTGGTCGGGTTCCAAGAGGTTGATGCGATTCTAGCTCTAGGTGGCTCGTGGGCAACACACTAGCATCCATGGTGCGATACCGGGTTCGATTCCTGGTCGGGACAAAATGAGTTGCATCTTTCCTTTAAAATAGTCTATGTCAGTAACTGTGGGTCGAAGAAAAGCTCGGGCAGAAGAAGTTTACGGAGAAGGAAATACGTCATGTTTGTCACATGTCTCCCTTACCTCCCAAGCCTGGGAATGAACTAGATCCAGGCAAGGAGGACTCTGTTAGCTAGCCGATAAAGTCGGACAATCGACCCAAAATGCCAAATACATACATAAACTCTCGCATTTTAAATGCTATGAAGCATTTCCATTATTTACGTCATGTAACTGGCTAATATCAATTGTATAGGTGTTGTGGTGAGTTATCGTTGGCATTTCTAATAAAATAATTATATGCGTCGTCATTGCCAACAATATTGTTGGCAATGACGGCGCATATAATTATCTCATAATATCAATTGGTTTTCTAATTTAAAAAAATGGTGGAATAATAAAATTGGAAAGAAAGTAGTAGGTATTGTAGTGCCCTGAAATCTTCCATACCTGGAAATATTACTCGCGCAAGTGTTCTCGATACACGAGCTCCCTAGTCCTCATCCAGAGCTGAATAGCACGGCACGTTGAGATATTTAGGTTCGACTCGCAACGGTTCGTACCAATTTACAATGCTAGGGCAAGAACCACCTTGTACTTTCAAAACAATCGTAGCATTTCTCGTGGCACGCTTTGGCAAGTAAAGTTCATGCACACAGTTGGTACGCCCTTTTAAGCCGTGACCAAGCCTGAGCCCTCCTCTCCCCGCACTCCCCGCTGTGAAGTATCAAAGAAACTTGCGCGTTTAGTACTGGTGTTTAAGTTTTATTTCAATTGTTATTTTCTTCGTTGGTGAAGCATTAAGGAATATAGTGAACATCAAGTAATAAAGACGATTTATTCTTTCGCTTTCTCTCCAAGAAGTACAGTTCCAGACCGAAATCGATCAAACTGCTTTTATCTTCTTTAATAAACTAGTGAATAATAACCAGTACTTTTTTCCGCCGGCCTAGACGGTCGAGATTGTTAAGATGAGAGCGCAGAGGCGATTTCAGCAAGAAAAACTGCGGTTACGAATCGAGCGAAGGCATGGATGTTTACCTATATGTAGAGTCATGATGAGTTTTACCAAGCCATCATGCATTACATTTTAAAAATGTTTTCCGTTTTTACAGTCATAAAATGCCTTAATATATACTAATGCCAAAGAAAAACCTAGCAGCGTAAGGGTACCTGTAGAGCCCATAATATGTGGGGTAGATATGCTATCATCTCTTGAAAAATACTTGACCCAGGAGCGATAGCCAAAGACTAACATAAATCCACCAAAAACAAGAATTTGGATAGGGTTAGAGTTTAAAACATCATACACTTATTGTATGATTTTCCAAGGCAGTGATTGGAACAAAAATGCCACTCTTTACTGGGTCAGGCCCGAACATCATCGATAAAACTGTCAACTACAATCGCCCAGACGCACGCCTGATCAATAGGCTAGATGAAACATCATCCCTAATAGATTCGGGTTCTTTCATGTAGCATGAAGTCGAATCGATAAACGTGAAGAACTTTTCATCTAATAAAAAATATCTACGAAAACTAAATAAAATCAACGTATGAAGTTATGTCTGCAGAAGGCATTTAAATCAGACCAAAACATTAAACATCAAAGACCTTGTGATGGCAAGTTACAGGAGTTGGAGGTCATACAGGTCTATTATTATACTGACTGCATTATAAGGAGTTTGTGATTTTCATATTATCTTCAACAATCAGAACTTATTTTCCACATTGAATGAGCCTACTTACATCCATAATAATAATAATAATAATAATAATAATAATAATAATAATAAACAACAAACTGCAGAACTTAATTAACTTTCTGCAAAAATATAACTAAGAAAATATTAGAAACTATTTCGTTTCTTTTGAACGCAAAGGCTGCAATTTATTGAATGCACTTTTTTCCGTGTACTATTCACGCAAATATTCCAATCGTCGTAGGCCATTCATTTCCCGCCCCTTTCCAGCCCCTTCACTTGCAAATCAGCGAGGGCCGCCTAGCGCCTCGCAGAGACCAGCGCGCTCCGCCCCTGCCAGCGAGCGCATTCACCCCGCGCCGAGGGCGACCTGCGCAGTCCACCAAGGCGGCGCGTGCGGGGGCGCGGGCGAGGCCGCGGGCGAGGGCGAGGGGCGAGGGAATGGCGTCGGCGCCCGCGCTTGCGTGCTGGCGCCGCCACCCCCCACCCCCGCCCCCACCCCCCGCTCGCGAGACCGCCGCGGCATTCCACGCAGGGAAAAGCGACGCGGCCCGCGCGACGGCGCCGCTTCCCTACTTCGGACGGCGGCTGGGGTCGCGCCGCGCCTCGCCCTCGCCGCCGCTGCCGCCGCCGCCCGCCAAGCACCCAGCCGCAGAAGCGGAGGGCGAAGAAGACGGTGCTCCGCCGACGGCAGCAAGTGATGACCTGTTGAATGCGCCGCCGCCGGCTGTCTCCTTGCGGCTGTTGGGTTATTCAGTGATGCGGTGCGAGCGCCTTCGCCTCCTCTCCACCGCCACGCTCGCCACATCCGTAATTACTTCCTTCTCGTAAGTAGTGTTCTCCGATCGACCTGCCTTGTCGTGAGAGAAACAGTAATGAGCCTCGCGAGGTTTTGTGGGGTGGAGTGTGCAACAAGTTCACCTTTGAATCGTTTATGTCGCGAGGTATTTAACACGCCCTCCTGAATTTGTCAGGAGTGTTGAGCTTACTTTTGCTATCGAATTTTAACGCGGATAAACACTCACCTGGGTTTTCCTGGAATGTCCAGAATATTGATTGGCTTTCACGGAGAATCGAGGCAGCCTACTGACCAACTTTCGTATGAATGGACTTTTCAATGAACTCTTGTAGCTTAACTGTTCGCTAACACGTACGATGCGAGTTGGTTACTTTTTCAAGACTCTTTTATAACTCGTGCTACCCTTGATATTCGTATATTTTTAACTACCAGACCTTTGTGTCCAGTTCGAGTGTGCCATTCATTATTTAACCGTCAGTCAGTGCACACCTTTGTTTCTACATTTTTTAGACAAGCATTTATTTCTAATGATTTAACCCACTTGATTTTTATCATGAATAATACAATGACCATTTGTGCTCTGTAAATTACATCTTCTATTGTTCGCAAATATAAAAGAAGATTAGAAAGTCACTTCTTCGCGCCCCATGACAGATTCCGTTCCGAAGACACGCAGATTCTTCACTGTGCCTTCAGCGCCAATGGCAGGGCAACATTCCATTTCGATTATTCATTCCCTTTGCACCTCATTCGCTTCGGTTTCGGTCTCTCAGTGGAATCCAACGTCGCTTTGACGATAAACAGAAGCGCTGAAACCACTCTCCATCTAATGTCCAAAGGCACAAAAACGTAGTTGAGAAGCGAAATGTTCTCAAGAAATGAATTTCATGGTATTAATCTATATTGATTTCTAAATTCAATACCGATAAAAATGAGTTTGCAGATTCTCAACAAATCTATTTTTTATGTACAAGAACACATTTAACTTTGAAAAACATAAATTATAATATATAATAAATGAAATTATTAAAACGTTAATTTCAGAATCAAGAACAATTTTTACACACAAGTCAAGATTTTGTAGTTATTAATAAGAACTTTGTTAAATTCATGTTAAATTGTATTTAGTGCATTGTTCAAAAGTTTACTTTCATAGTTTGATTGTTTGCTTTGTTATCGGAATATGTTTAATGATTTTTACAAAATGTATGCATTAAAGATGGGTTGTTTTGGCACTCTTGAAAAAGTATTTTTAAAGACAAATGATTGCACTTTTAGAACCGGTATCAGAAATGAAACTGGTGGTGTTACATTACCAACTTTCTCATTTTCTAGCTTTTATAATTTTCTCAAATTCAGAGTTCGACAAAAACGAGACCATCTCCCTCTTTTCAAGTATTCTTTGATCTACAAAAAAAAGGTAAATTCAAAAATTTGAAGCTATTTTTGAGAAGAATTTGAAAATGTTGCGAAGACGTCATGTAAAGTACCCCCAAATATCAAAATATCCGTTTCGAATTCGCAGGGTCTGGAGATCGACCTCATCATAGAAAAATACAAATTTAGGAGAAAATTGTCTTAACGGATTAAGTGCTCGCTTTTACTACAACGCAAGATGTATCCAATTTTTCGATACGGGTATCATAATACGGATATCATATGCTGCATTACAATACTCTATTTAAAAAGTGTACTCGAGTAGTTTGCGAGAAAGTAAAATGTCTGCAATTTGTGATGAAAATTGGTTATAACACTCATCTAAAAGACATCGTTGCAGCTTAGTTTTCATCGTAAATACACTGATGCAATAACTCTTATAGTCCTATTGGAATTCTATTTTTTGAAGCTCTTCTTTAAAACATTCATCAGAAACGTGTTTTTTTTTTTCAAGGCATTTTCATTGGTCTTGGATGCACGCATGTTTAGATGCTTGGGCACGTTTTGACTTTTTTAGTGATGGCTACTTCAGAATTTTTATGCAAATATCTTCTAAAACTGCCGTGCATTTGCTTCTCACTTAAACATTCTTAACTGTAGTAATTTGACACAAACTGTATAATTCTAATGAACTTAATAAGCAGCGTAATTCGTAGGACTGCCATTGCAAAGAGAATATTACTAAGCATTTATTTAAAAAGTCGTATGACCCCTGCGTGTTTCATGTTTTGCAGAAATGCCCTATTGATGTTAAGAACAGTGTTCCGAGTTCAGTACAATTTTCATTCGAGTTTGCGCGGCATAAAAGCATTAAACGATGCGGTTGAGATAAGCGCTTTGCACGCAAGGGGCGGCCTCGACATGGGATCATTCGTCTTTGTTTTCCGAGACCTTTACCTAATTAAGATGTATTCAGAAGAATGATCACTACTAATAATCTATAGAATTTTAAATTTCTCTTCTTACAACTATTTGATTTACCGTATCGAGCAGTAGTGCGTTCATAGACATTCGTGCTGATAACGTCTTAGAAATCATACAAATCTGCCATCTTTTTTGCCGTATTATTTAAAGGAGGTTTCTTATTGTGAATACTTTTTGTATTGTATTTTAGCTTTTCAAATAAAAAGAGCCCAATGCTTGTATGTTTCATGCTCATCATTTCTTGGCTGAAAATATTCAGGTTCCTTTAAGTGATCCACATTTGATGTACTAATTAACTTCCCTATATTACTTTGTGCAAACCTGGGGTCGCTGTGATAGAGTAAAGTTGGTGTTTAGAAAACAATTAATATTAATTTTATTTTATTTTTAAATAAAGTTGTTCCATTTCTTGACTGTCAGATCTTTTAAAATAGATTCACAGTACACTCTCAAAACAAAGTACTATTACTCCTTAATATTTCTTTACGAGAATTGTGGGTTGTCGGGAGGAATAGAAATTAGACACAGTTTTTAATGACGCTTTGTTCGCCATTACAGAAAAGGTCATCTGGAATGAACCGATCGGTTGCTCCCCCCTGAAGTGAACGTGAGAAAAGGCTGCAAAGCATTTTGCGAGCGCTTGCCTGCCCTGAAGGTTACTCGCGTGAAGTTTTTCTTCATATCACACACGTAAATGATCTGATCTCGGATTTCGTTCATCTAGGTTTGATGTAACAACCACCGTAATAGAACCGACGCACTCCTCAATCCTTCTTCTTGGGCGGCATAAAATAAGTATTCATTTCACCTTTTCCAGTGTGGTTATTCTGGGCTGATACAGAGTTATCGGATATTCAGCTTGAGGGAGAGGGAAAATGTGACAAACATTATTTATCAGCGTCTTGTGTGGAAATATTCTTGTACATAAACATCTCTCATTGTTAAATGCTGCTTTATTTATAGTAATTAATTAAATTGCAGTTTGTTTCGTTAGTTTCGATACCTTTCTAATCTCGGATAAAATGCTACAATAGCCCATTTATTTGACATTTGAATTCTCAAAACCAATTATAAAATAAAACGTACCACACCAATATTTCATTTTCGTTTAACCACTTCTTTGTATAGCATTTACATTCAGTTAATTTATTTGAAAGTTACAGTTAATGCAAGTGAAGAGCACCATGGGATGTGGAGCGTCAAAACGCACCACTGTTGTGCCAGTTGAAGAATTATCTACGGATACAGAATCTCCCAACAAGCAAAGTCATATCAGAAGATCTTCAGATGTCATTGCAGTTCAGGGAGATGACATACCAGCAGAAGAACTTAAAGATGCGAGAGCAAAAGCTCCGCCTATTATAGGTAAACTAAAACTAATTGTATTTTGCTGTAAATAAAATGAGATACATAAATCGTACAAACAAACTAAGCACCATCTAGTTTAGTAAACAAAGTTTTTCATTTAAATAATTTGAGAATCATCTAAAGTTTAGAAAACTTCATATTTTATTATTTTCTTTATTTTCTGTAAGTTTTTTTTTCTTGTAGATTGTTCAACTTTTGTCCGACTATCATTATTTTCAATTATTTTTAACATTTATTTCCGTGTGAGTATTTTTAATTTTAACAGTTATTTAAAAGCGTGAATTTGCATTAAACACAGAGATTTTGACTAGAAAACCCTACCAAAAAGAGGGAAGAGTTTTTACTTTCCTTTGCCTTTCGTGAATTTGTCAAAATATACTAGATGGTTCTCATTCACAGAAAAATTACTTCACCTTTTCACCCGAGTGTGAAGTTGAGAATAAGGCTACATTAAAAATAGACAGTTTAGGTGTCGAATAAAACGAAAATAATTATTTTTGCGTCGCTTTATCAATAAATGGATTTTTCATAGCGCATTGATGAAAATTTGATAAAAATCATGTGATATTTGGAATTATTTTTTTATTATTTACTGTAATTTTAATAATACTTATTTTTTTAAACAATTACATTTTTAATTCTACACATATTTAAATCAAACTTTTTAACTAAATTAATTAAATTAACTGTTTAGAAATTTGGTTTTCAGTGTGGTTAATCACTATAATGATACATTTACCTGTTGCATCTTAATATGTCAAGCTGTTACGTTTTGTGATCATGTTTAAAACTCCAATCATGAGCTGAAACGTTTGGCAGAACTTAGTGTGAGCTGACTTGCATTATTACATGTTCCTGTAAATTTGTATAGTTTGTTTTTATCATTTTATGGTAAAGTCTTCATGTTGTAATTTCTGTTATACACACGTATGTTGTTAAATTCTGTACTACTCAAATTCAATACAATAGATAGAAAAATCAATTCTTTTGATCTTTCGTTATTTCCATCAATGTCTGAGTACCAACGCATCTTCCCATCAAAATCTTTCGGCAGTCAAAGAATGAAGGACGATTTTTTTCTTAAAGAATCGCATTTGATGAACAAGATAATTACACACACACCCATATATATATATACATACACAATTACAATTACAAATGCAATTACAATTACATGCTGTCTAACAATTTTTATTTGAGAGTCTTTTGCGTCCTATGTTGGGCTCCGTACTTTATATTTATTGATAGAAAGATGCATGTTAGTACGTGTAGAATAGCGCTTCACTATTATTATTAATTTGAGAGAAATAATTAAACTTTTTTTAATTTTAAGATTGATTCATATTTCCAGTCACTTCAACTGCTACGGTCATTAGACCCGTTTGTCTAGTGTATGTTTTTAGGCCTGGAGGTGGTCTCCGTGTCCCTTTTGTTAGGGTACTGTTCAGGCAATCGCTTCGAGTTGATCGGAGGAACCACGGAAAACTATCGATCAGAGTAGCTGGCCCTAGAGACAACGACTGAACTCGACCTGGCTATCTAAAGAGTGTCGAAAAGTCTGCCACCGTCAGGATTCGAACCGTAGGACCTTCCCAGTCAGAGGTACTGCAGTGACATCAGTGGATGAGTCCATTTCCGATCTATATGTCGGCTTGCGGGCGATTCCTCCGCCAGGTTACTCTCTCAGCGGGGACAAGCTCTGCGCTCCCAACTGGTCTCCCGGCATACGAGTATACGGTAGTGTAGTTCACATGTGTAACTATGGGGAGAGTACGGGACGTGGCTCGTTTGTTAGAGTACTGCTGCGACATTTGCCTGGTATTGGTCGGATAAACAACGGAATACTACACCGATGAGAGCACCCGTGTGCTGGAAATCTCCCCCAGACAGCGACTGAATTCGACCGCGCTATCTAAACAGCGTCGGATCTCCAACCCTAGGACCTCACACTCACAGCAGGGACAACGGCAAAGCTGCTGGCTGTGAGCAAAATTCAGCAGGATATAATTATGAGTCTAATAGTAGCATAAAAATGTTTTCATAAACAGTTCTGTACCTTGAATTCTTTTCTGTAAAACACCGTTTATTCATTGTTTTTCTTACTGCTTGTTGCCAAATATACGCATTTTGAAGAAGATAAGACAAATATAGTTTATTTTTTCAAATAATTTATTTGAAAACTTATAACTAAACAGTAACTTAATTGGTGTTTTATATTCATTTACAGCACAACCAATGGCTTTTGAAGTTCCTGTTAATGAAGAAAGTTTGATACGTAAGCATCCTCCGAAACGCCTTCAGCGATTAGAAGATCAGCAAATAATGCTAACTCACGAGCTTTTGGATGAGAAGCAAGCTGAAGCTGAACAACGGAGGTTGCAGGTAAGTGGCTAGAGAAGGTATTTTACATAATAAGTGCTAACGCTCTACCAAATTCCCCCGAAAGAAAAATGTTAGCGTCGGCCTTGAATGAGTAAGAATTAATCAACGTAAAATAAAGATGATTATAAGCTCCCACAAATGTCTACACAATTTAAATGGCTTCAATCTGGTACTGTGATCACTAGGTGGCCAATTCTAATGAAATGTATTTTTTCTTTTCATTTTAAAACAATTTCCGTTAGTATATAAATTAATTTTATGAATGACAAAAGGAAATGACCCATTTTTTTGTATTTTTCGTCGATTTCGACTAACAAGTCTTTTTTTACCTCTTTCTATATTTTTAATGCATTTTTCGCTGATTTCATGCCTTATAGTATCATTTTTATGACACTTTCTTGAAACAATATTTACGAGGTGCAACAAATGTTCTCCACAGAATTCCTGTGTAGCTAATTCGATTTCTTCGCTCAGTAATTGTAATATCAGCCGTTGTATGTAATCTAATGTTCTTGTGACGAATATCAGCGCCATTGTCGGTGCAGCAGATTTTGGAATAACTAAAAGCAGAGAGTTACTGGTAAAGCACAGTCCAAAGCAAACTTTTGCCAGCTGAGTGCATTTGAACGAACGGAAGAAGACCCCGAGTACGTCAGTAGTGTATCCATGTTACTGATGTTCATCTAAAGTAGTTTTTACGTCATTTTTCTTTGTTTTTAGGCATTTTTAAAAAATGTTAAGAGCATTTTATTGATCATTTTTGGCAATGTTTGAGGTCATCAAATCCGCCCCCTAGTGATCACCTACTCAGGAAAGGGAGGTCATAAACGTCTAATACTTCTCTGTTGCCTTCGCTCAGGAATTAGTCGACCACCCATCCTCATAAAGGAGTTGGAAAATGGTTTCAAAATGCCACAACACACTGTTTAGTGCTTAAAATAACTTGACGATCAGAGCTTGATGTTTCTAAATAACGAGTTTAAATCCTGCCCCTAAGGTTCTAAAATTGATTGAATCATATAATTACCTGCGGGGGAAATGATATTTAATTCATTGCCCAATTGCATAATGTATAGGGCCCAAAAACAAATCTTTGTTCCAATTTGCTTATGATTCTTAAAATAGTTTGATACTACACCTTAAGACATCAGTATATTCGACATATATTAAAATTATGATGAATGAAGATAATTAATACTTGAAGAGTTCCATTTTATTATACTTGAAAGTATACTTGAACTAGGTCTTGGATTCATTGATCTCATTCAAAATTCGAGGTAGTCAAAATAATAAAATTTGAAAATATTAGTAAAATATATTTTATATTGTGATTGCATAGTAAATATTAAGTTTATAATCCATTGAAAACATTTTCTTTGTGTTTTCGCACAAGTATTTATGTAGCACATTTTTTCAGATACTCACACAAAGAATCCAATCTGCGAAACAAAGAGCTCCCCGAAGACCATTTTTGAATGAAGATGAAGAGAGTCCCGTAAGTGATATTCATCATTATGGCAAAATAATTTCTAGAATTTTTTTATTATTCTGATCTAATCGCTTCCAGTATTTTATATCTTGTATCATTTGAATTAGAAAATCAAGCCTTTCATTTTTAAGGTATTCAATTACCCCGTCATAAACGATAGTTCTTTACAATAAAAGTTGAACATTTTATTTCATTCTTTTTAAATTTCTTATATATGAAGATTTAATTATCTCTATCTAAAGAGGACCAAGGGGTCAAAGTGGTTATGGAGTTCCTGTTTACGAAGTTCCTGTTTACGAAATAAGGGGAATTCTGTTGTCAAAAATCTAGTTTTCCAGATATTAATAAAATTAATGTTGAATTTGAAACTACAAAAGTTGTTTTTATCGCAGATTTTCCTCTAAGACCTCTGGCATTGGGTTTCATGAACCCTTTCAAATGAAATATGAACATGTATTGGTCGCGCAAATATTGCTCGCACGTGTTGTTGATACACGAGCTTCTTAGTCCTTGTCCTGCTCTGGATAACTAGCCCCGTTGAGTTACTTAGGACCGAGTCGCAACAACACATACTATACCTTTACAACCTCAACAAACAATTTTAAATTGGGATGACCACAATCGAATTGAGACTAAACACATTCATAATGAAACCTATCATCTTCAAATTGTGACTAAGCAATTTCAAATTGAAATCTATCTGAAGTTACGTTGTAAATTACAAATTTGAGTCTAAACAATGTAAATAAATACAATAAAATGAAGAAATTGTGGACACATTACTCAGAAGCAACTTAATTAACATTTTAATAATAATGTTACATTACAAAATCAGCTTAATTTATGACACGAACCCATTAATCAAAATCAATTTTTTAACACAATTATAATTTACATAACCATATCTTGTAAATTTAAGGCATCAGGAATGAATCTTTGGACATGAGCGACATATCTTGCACAATTATTAGCATTTATTACTTCAATATTTTGATTTATAATATTTTCTGACGAAGACGAAACTCAGTTTGCGATATATTTGCTCTGTCTTCATCAGCTACAATTTGTGTCACTTTTGCACACAGATCTCGTTTAACAGCAGCCTTGAGGCTAGACCAGGCATTTTCGATCGGATTGAACATTGGGCTAAAAGGACTGAGCCTAAGTAAATGATGGTTGCTGAATTATTCTTCTATGAATATTTCTTCCACACCACAGTGACTGGGAGCATTATCAATTACTAACACGGCATACGAGTGGCACACGGTTAATGCAGCAAGCAGACATTGACGCACAAATTCTTAACCTTCATCCTTTCTAAAAGCGCCTCTTCTAATTTGATGGTGAATCAGTCCCATAGCACTTATGCAACCTATGACACGCACATTGGCTCCGCAGCTGCCTGCTGTTATGTAGCTGCATCGAGTACCTTTTTTCGATCGTCCTTTCTTCCTTGAAATAAAATAAAATTTGTTTCGTCCATATACAAAATTGGGATGTTATCCGTTATCCGCTTGATAATTTAAAGGTTGCAGCACGTACTCACGACGCTTTGTTTTGGTCCCAAAACTATTCATTTTTTCAGGTTCTCTACGGATGTCTTTCAGTGTGTACATCAAACCATCCAAATGTTTCCCCAAACATTCTGTTGAACCTATAATTTGATGGTTGTGTTCCGTTTTTAATTTTAGATATATCAGTGTAATTCTTGAATTTTCTTCAATATATTTAATCACGAAGGTCCGATGTTCCTCCGTAATTTTCATTTCCTCTTACCACCTCGTGGTTTTGGAAGTTTTTCTTGATTTTTCACCCAACCATATGCGTTCGACTTTTTTACGCCAAGTGTATTTTTTACGCCAGACCTTTCCAATCACCGTTATTATTATACACAACACAAATTTGCTGTTTTACACTTTCAGCTTCCAATTTCTTCCGGCATGTTAATCTCACGTTTTGATCACACGGAAAACACAACTGCTTATACAATCAATATTAAAATAATAACCGATTTATTGTTTTTTCTCAGTTTGAAATTGTTTAATCTCAAATTGAAAGTGACTGGTCTCAAAATGAATATGCAAATTCTCAATACGGTGTTGTTTGGTATCAATTTGATTGTGTTTCTTCTCAATTTGAAGTTGAAAAGGTGTAGTTTACAATGCTGCCAATGTACACCTCATACCTTCAAAATAATCGGTGTATTTCTCGTTCCACGCTTTGACGAGATAAATTCATTCCAACAGTTGGATGTAAACAGAGCCCTCCTGTCCTTGCACCCATCTCACACCCCCGCTGAGGAGTATCAAGAAAGCTTATCAATAGAGTACAAGTTATACTGCCGCAATCAACTTCGGTTCGATGGTCGTAAAAAATATTCTGACCACTTTCGATTGATCATGTGATTTATCACTTGAAATGAAATATGATTAATAATTAATCATCTTTTTAACATTTTCTTTCAATTCATCGCGCTTCTAATGGGTCTCTATCAGTCTTATCGGTGGCTGGCGTCGGATAGTCGATGTGTTTTATTCTGGTACGAGTTGGACGCGTATAGACATTTCGCATTATTTTTTTGAATCATTGAATAAGAAATAGCTTCATACTGAAACACTTTGAACGTTCTGGTAGTCCGTGCTTCGGAGTGGAGACCCTCGCCAACAATGTAATAGAATATCCAAAAAAGTTTTATGTTATAAAATAAGGCATAATAAATATAATCCTTTGGGAATATATTTAAGAGCCTTGCATGCATCCTTTTCGAGTTACGCGCGATGATAACATGCTGCGTAATGGTGACAAGGAATTGACCTGCAAAGTAATTAATTTCGTATCTGAATTACAATTAGATAAAAATATATAAATATGTTGTTTGATGAGGTTGAATTCTAATTATCTATGTATTATCATTATCATAGATTAATGTAAAGGAAAATCAATTAATATTTTTTATAACATTTTTAATACTTAGCAGATGCAAATGTTGTCAAACCTTTGTATCAATCATGTGGTCGTTAATGACCTTGTTGTTAATGAGAAATTAATAAAGAAACCAATTTAAACTAGTGGTGCTACAGAATGGCACAGACTTTCACGTATTAATTTTCTGCTTTCTTTCGTGTGGGCTAGCTATTCAGACTTGCCACATACTCTTGCCGGCTGCCATCTATCGTCGCCCAAATTACATTTTTTGGAACTTTTCTCAATTTTTCGGTTTTTAATAGTAAAACTTAAATATTACTTTAAGAATGTAGAAGAAGAGCAAAACGCCGTCCAAATGGCAATTTACATTGAAAAATTTCAGACCGTTTCTGAGAAATGACATTTAAGCGTTACTGTAAATGCGAAATGTGAAGCTCTTTTCCACAGAAATTGTTTGAGTTTTCGATAAACTTTATTTAAAGTCATTTGAACCACTTCCACTCACAAGACCAATAATGTATACAAATCGCTAGATATGTGCACATTATCGGCGTTAGAGATTAAAAAATACATTGACGTATTTTTTGAAAAAACAAACGTACACACCGAAATTAATTTTTTGAAGTCTTAAGCAGTACAATTATCACTATCCGCACGAAAAGTAGAAAAAGATTTGAAGAAAAAATTGAAGCCGTTTTTGAAGAAATGGCGCGTGGAAGTTTCAAAAGATGCAGAAATTTGACCTTCGTTTTCACGGAAAAGTTTTGAGTTTTGAGCCATCATTTAAACACGTATATACTCGTAAATACAATAGTTAAAGAAATCGCCGCTAATGTAAATGAAACGACGCAAGAAGCTGGTCAAAAAAATATATTATTGGTATCTTTGAAAAAACAAAAGCATAGGGCAAAATATCGTTTATGTCATCTTATAGCATACATTGTACACTATCCTCATCAAAACTTTAAAGAAAAAAGTTGGAGAAGTGTATTTTACAAGAATGTAAAGAAAAAAAGAAGTGTTCCTTACAAGAAGTTAAAGAAAAGAGAGGGAATAGTAATAATACTTAAGTATTGTGCAAGGTTTAAAATAGAAATGACTTGTGGCAAATACAATTGGCTTGATGATTATTCTTACTTTTGGCATTTATGAAAAATAATATCTGCATTTCCTGGCGATTAACATTTTTCGATTGCTTTCAAACACGTATTTCTTGTTTAAATAATTTACTAAATAAAAACTCATGCCCTTATGGACAGAACACGGAATGGTTGTCGCTGCCAAATGCAGCCCAAGATGACCATCTCGACGTCTAATAAGGTGTGCGAGATTTCACCACTCTGAACCTAGATAATAATCGTATATCTTGTTTCTTAAGATGTGAGCTTATTTTACATTGAGGATTCTTATATGATGGAACATCGAAATTTCGAATTAGAAACGGAGAATAAAACAGAACACATACAATTTATTGTGCATTTCAAAATAACGAAATTTGAATAGAATTGTTGATACAGAAGAAATTGAAAAGAAATATTAAGAAAATGCAAGATATTGAAGTTTGAGTTTTCGAGGTTCTACTGTTGTGTAGCTCTATAGAGAATAATAGTAGAGTCTGATGGGTATAATTTCATTCATTTTATATTAATTTTGTGCTAATTTTAAATATTTTCTGGGTGTTTTGCATGCCATTTGAGTTACTTGAATCTAATGACACAATTTATTCTTCTTTCAGACTGAAATGATTGAAACAATAAAGAGAGAAAATTCTACTGTTGAATTGTGAATAAACATTCAACATTATGAATGTATCAGATAATGTTTTGTCTGAGACGAGAGGTATGTTTATAAACAACCTAAAGAAGACAGCAAACAATATACTCAAAAAGTGATATGGTAATATATTTTGTACAAATGGCTGCAAAATGTAATTGATATAGTTCGTAATGAGAATGAATGCCTTGACCGAAAGAAGCATACTTTTCTCAATGTCCTTGTACATATGCATAAAAATTATATTACGTCTTGGTATGAATTTACAAAGATTACAAAACTATAACTTTTAGATTTACTTTTGTTGAAATATATGAAATGTGTTTTAAAAACATTTAATTTTTAATTTTTTAAATATATCTGAAAATATTTTTCTCTAACACTCGAGGAATGTTTGATCTGTTGTGTATTCGATGAATGTAGATACATAAAAAATTGATTGTATATGTATAGTAAAAATGAGTGTATAAGAATGAGAAAGTTTGCCCTGCAAAAAAAAAAGAATACTGTCACTAGAGATGATATTCTAATGCAAATAAGGCATATGTTATATCCATAATGTGAGTGCGTATTCACACAGCTATCCTATTCTTGTAGGATTACACTCATTGATCACGACACAGTTAAATTTCAAAGCTTAATAAAAATATTGTAAGGCAAGTGGTTCAAATATAGCCAATGCAGGTAATATGGTCAAGTAGCGGCTGTGGTGTTAGCTGAAACTATTTCCTTCTTCTTTATTGACTACTTCTTTATTGATTGTGCTATTATACGTCTGGGAGAGTGTAAGAAGTGCATTAACGCCATGCCAGACTTGTTGATTTGTGCATGCGCACTCTGAAGCTTTTATTGTCCAGTACGTGCTGAAGGCGCTCTCCTCACAACATCTTATGAACTCTTGTGCTATTGTTTTAAAAAATGATTTATTTTAGGTCATATTTTTATAAGATTAGATTGTAAGAATGTAATTTATATTATATATTAGTATAGCTTGCTCTAGTTCCATGGACATGCTACAAAAAACAAGTTAATTTGCAATGGCCATAAAACCTGCATGGGGGCATTCATTTTACCTTCAAACTACAATGTTTTGTAAAATAACAACAAAATATTCCTGAATCACTTTTTTGTGATTTAGCTATTTCAACTTAAAGCAAAGTGTTAAATTTCATCATGAAGCTGTTAATTTGGCCAAATGTTGAAAAATATAAATAGCAACATTTGAAGCGCTTAACTTGATCATATTACCTTCACATACCTTACTATTTGTTCGTACGCTCCTTTCTTTTTCCTTATTCCTAAAATTGTTGTTTTCTGCTGTGAGTTTGATTCTGTCAGAGAGCATTTAAGCAATATTTTGATAACTGATCACAAGGGAATGAATTTTATCGTATTTTACATAAGTGTGCCTTTTATTTTATTATGAAATATCTATTTTGTTCGGCTTGCAATGGATCGAAGAGAAAACTGTTCTCATCAACATTGTAATTGTGAATAAATAAATAATTTAATAAATTATGTTTTTAACATATGTGAATCCATTTTCATCTATCTTTTTTCTCCACAGACTATGTAAAAAACTTGAATAATTGGTAGAAAAGTATTGAGGATTAGGCACCCGTCTGGGATAATAATTAATGAAAGTTCTGGAGATAATATTTTTGGACAGCATTAGTAAATATAATACGCGAACATTATTTAGGCGATACGGAGAAAGAATCATCGTGGCTTCACCCCGAAAGGATTACACGTCCAATACCGGTCGTCTACTGCGGAGGACCCGTTGAATTGCCATAGGAGTCCCCTGTAGTCGGTAGAAGCGCTCGCGAATGTCAAACATCAGACTGGGCGGGAAATCATCCGTGGCCGTCCGCGAAATGAAGTGTCGGTTTTGATGCGCGGGTCGCAGATCGTCATACGTCGCCTGGACCGCGTTTTGTATTTTACAGCCAAATGGTCGGGCTGCCCACCCTCACGGATAATTTGAGGGTGTTGATCCTATTATCCCAGACCGGCATCCGGGATAAATTCCGATGCTGAGTGAGGGCTGGAAGGATCGTGCGAAGAACAGCGATCGTCCGTTGGATGGCTGTTGTCGCCGTTAAATCATTTACTACGGTCTCTCTAAGAGCCCACCGATCGCTGTCGAGATTCTTTCTCTGATCATGTCTTCTTAGCGCCCTCGGCTCACCCGATTCCCGTCCCCGGCTGGTCTGCGAGGGAGCGAGGCCACGGCGCGGCCAGAATTGGCGATATTACAGTTCATTCTAGTGTTAAATGCCACGAGAAAACTGGGTTGATATTTTTCTGTCTCCTTGAACATAAAGAAGCATTTATTACCAAAATATTTAAATGTTCAATAGCGGCAACACTGGAGCATATTTATAAAATAGAAATAAATCGATTATCAGACACGTAATACAAGTATAATTTTTATTTGAAATTAGTACATTCATAAAATGTTAAGTCAATTATATATCATACATTTTATTTTAATTGTATCTCTAGTGCTCCTCTAACTGTCTATCCTCTTTGAACTGGTACTATTGAGTATAAGTGATGATCAACTTCTTCCTCCACATAAAATTCTGACTTTTGAAAGCAACGGCTCTGCAGAATTTCTGAAGTCTGTTCTGGGCATTGAAAGCAGCTTTTCAATACAATAAACATCTCTAAACTGTATTTTTTCTTGTTTTTCATATTTTTATGGGGGCGGATAAATTACTCAAAGAGGTAGAAGTAGATTCCACCAAAAATCTGCCATGAAATTTCTCATCTTCAGTGTTGTTTTAATGTTGAATCATTGAAAATATGAGAACGATGTGTCAGGTCATTTTATTTGTTTAATTGTTCATGGATAACACTATTTACTTTATTAAATGAAACAATGCATATCCTTAATTTTCTAGGAGGTATTGTACGTATGCACGTTTAATGATTAAAAATACTTATAGCAGCCATTATCATTATATGCCAATTAGGGATATGGTTGCTTACTGTTACTGACACCCTTCAACACTTGGTTAACTCCTGCATTCCGTCCCACGAAAACCCATTTTTTATTCCGAAATTCATCTGAATACCCTTCAAAAACATTTACACATGCTCTGTTACTTTTTTTCCTCGGCTGTCCGTACATTTCATCAACGCTGTTTACATTTGTATATCTAGTAAGAAACGCCAACAAAATCACTTCAAAGTTTCTAATGCCAAAAATGATTCGGCGAAACTTTCAAGTCCGCATGTTCAGTTATGTAGCTTTCTCAAGAATGTTCGGGTAATTGTTCGAAGAACAATTATAACATTAATAACACACAGACACACACACACACGCACGCACGCGCGCGCGCGCACACACACACACACACACACACACACACACACACACACACATA